TCGCAAGCGTTTCTTCTCTAGCTCCCTCCTCCTCCGCTCTTCTCGCTTCTCTTCTCGAATTCTCTATGGACATGGAAAAGTACGTGTATGAACTGCTTGGGTGGACATGGCAGAAGCAGAAAGGGTGTTCGTCAGGAAAAACGCCAGACCTACCTGCTTTTCTAATTTTCTATTTTTAATATATTCCAAAAGAGGTGTGGTTCTTCTAGCTAAAACACAAAAATGGTATTGTAGTATTAACTTCTAAAATAAGATTTATTTTCTTTAAATACTTGTTTTCAATTTAATCCTTAAAAAAATTAGGAAAACAATAATTATTGTTTAAACTTACACAAGCAACACTGTATCCAGGGAAGTTTTTACTTCACTACTATAAAGTTAAGCAATTTCAAGGTACCAGCAATTTTACATAGTAGACATGTCATTCCTGATTCTTTAAGGAGTCTTAAAGTATTACTTACAAAGAGTGTATAAAAGTAAAAATGAGGCTGGGCATGGTGCCTCATGCCTGTAATCCCAGCACTCTGGGAGGCTGAGGCAGGAGGATTGCTCAAGGTCAGGAGTTTGAGGCCAGCCTAAGCAAGAGCAAGACCTTGTCTCTACTAAAAATAGAAAGAATTAATGGCACTAAAAAATATACAGAAAAAATTAGTGAGCATGGGTGGCGCATGCCTGTAGTCCCAGCTACTTGGGAGGCTGAGGTAAGAGGATTGCTCAAGCCCAGGAGTTGAGATTGCTGTGAGCTAGGCTGAAGCCCGGCACTCTAGCAGTAACAGAGTGAGACTTTGTCTCAAAAAAAAAAAGTAAAAAGGGTGCAATGCATTAAACTTCCCAATGTTATGATTATGTCTTCTTCACAGTTTTTAGATACTTTATTAAATCATTAAATACATATTATATATTTCACTTGATTCAATACTATTCTATTTTTCCTTCCTACTTTCAGACAGATGGTTTTAGCAACTTGGATTCCTATAATTTCTTATAATATACACTCCATAAAAATCAGGGTGACACGAAAACTCTAGGACTATGGTTTGAAAGTGACCTGCATGGCACTGTTGGTCCTGCTCATCAAACAGGCACCACCACAAGGAATCAACACTTCCACAGACTCTTAACCTTGACCCTCACCTTTCGTGCTCCAACCTCTGACCTGCTGGACACGAGGTGCCCTCGAGCCACAGGCCTACGGTGCACCTCCGAGGGACCAGGACACAGACAGGAGGACAGGCTCAGTATTTACCTCAGTGTTTAAAAACCCTTTGAGACATTTATAATCAGCTGTTATAAAACATAAAACTTCATTACTAGACTAAAGAAGAATATTAGTGAACTATTTCAATAACATTACTTTTCTATCAATTTATTCAACAAACATTTACTCATTCCTAAACTTCTCTGTGCTACAGACTACAAAGAAGAAACATAGTTCCCCTGGGAAGTGGAGCGATGAAGAGGAGAGAGGAGTTGATATAGAGAGATCAACAAATATAGAAGAAAATTATAAATGGTGTGACTGTCACGTCAGTGAGTCCCTGCAGTACGTGTATGTGTGCATGGGTAATGAGTTTTTAAGAAAGTACAGACAGAGAGGAGAAGCATTAACCAGATTGTGGCTTAGAGGGATTCGAAACCGCACTATCGTAATCCTGATTTTTAAGACTTGTAGCGACAGGTGTGAGTGGGTCATAGTCGTTTATTATGTCTTATGTTAAGTGTGGATAATAAGTTTGTAGAGAGACATGCTACTAGATAGATAAGAAATAAAACATTTCTAAATATATAGAATGTAGGATCATTGCTCAAAGATTGACTAGGAGGCTGTAAAAGGACTGGATTCGAGGCCAGGGGATCGACAATATAGGACAGAAGAGAGTGTGCTCTGGCTGCTTTTACATAATTCCCGCTTGGTGGAAAGTTTTGTTTTTGGCTTGCTCAGGTCCGGAATTTTTTTGAACAGCTAGCAGGGGACCTCATTCATGAAGCAGAGTCTGTCTGTTCTATACTGGCTCTCCAGGCTATCTGTGACACTTTGTCCACTCTTCGCTCAAGTCAGCCTGTGAACTGTGACTTATGTGGGCTCGCAATGATCCTTTCCACCGACACAGTCATAAGGTACATGGTCTGGAACTCAGGAGTCACTTCTCTGGGCTTGTTTCATTAGTGCTCACCTGTACCGTGTACAGCACCCCTAGGATGTTGAGTGAATGCTTCGATTACTTAAGGTTCCATAAACAAAAACTGACTGTCAAGGACATACCAAATATAATCACGCCTCGTAGCTGTTCTTCGACTCATTCCAAAGAATTCATACTCTATGTAACATGACTTGTCTCGCAAACTGCTGTCTTGCCATATATCTTCATAAATCTGGAAGAAGAAAAAAGAAAAAGAAGAGAAGAAGAAAGATGTAAAAGGAAAGATGCAGATAAACAGAAGAAGACTACTGAGAAAGAAATAAGGATTAAGGTAATTTAGAGGAAACATTTCATTTATTTTTTCCAAAAATAGTTCTGCTATACTAATTATACCTGTTAGATATTTTAGCTCTTTAAAATTTTAAAAACATTTTCAATTAATCTAATCCCTTGTTATTATGGTTCCTTTTTTTACACACTACCATGGCAATTTTCAGATTGTGTTCCCTGAGCCTAGGAGTTGCCCGGATGTGCTGCTAAGAAGGCCAGGGTGGGGTGCGGGGTCTTCCGCAGGGTAGGAGCAGGGAGCAGGCAGCACCACCATCCCCCCCTGCTGTTTGCTGGGCTTCTGCTTACATTTTCCTAACTAAAATATGCACATTCAAAACCCATTGGTTCAGCCTTTCCATTTGAAGACTGGCTCAAAAAACTGGGTTGTGTCATTTATTTTTTGGCAGCAGCAATGGGGTTCTATACTACTCTTGCCCACTTGCTCCTGTGACTGATGCATTTATTTATGAGGACAGTTTGAAGTGTAGAGGGAAGTTTTCACTGTATAAAAGGTACTGGCCAGAATTGGAATCAACCAATCGATTGGAGAAAAACAGATTAGAAATGGGAAGGGTGGGAGAGAGATCATCGAACTGTAGCTTTGTTTTTGATGTTCTAGGCAGTCAGACATGGAAAAGTTGATCAGAAACATAATTTGCTTTACCCACAAAGAGAAAACATATTAGTTTTTCAAGGAAAACAAAGATTTTTCTAGGAGTTTGCTCTAAAATAATTTTTCCCATGTGGTTCACTAGCAGGCTGCATGTGGTGGCTCACACCTTAATCCTAGCAGTCTGGGAGGCCAAGGTGGGAGGATAGCTTGAGCTCAGGAGTTCAAGACCAGCCTGGGCCAGAGCAAGACCCCATCTCCCCTAAAAACAGAAGAATTAGTTGGGCACAGTGGTACACGCCTGTAGTCCCAGCTACTTGGGAAGCTGAGGCAGGAGAATCACTTGAGCCCAGGAGTTTGAGGCTGCAGTGAGCTACTATGACGCCACAGCACTGTAGCCCAGGCAACAAATGAGACTCTGTCAAAAAAACACACACATAAAACCAAAAAACACACAACCTACAAAACACACAACAGTAACCCTAACAGTAACATATGCTGCAGTAACAAATAGTCTCGAAATTTCATTGGTTTAGCTTAACTGAAGCTCATTTCCTGTTCATGTTGTGTGTCCGCCGTGCACTTGCGGAGATGGTAGGGCCTGGGGCAGTCATTCCGTGGCCTGAGCTGACAGAGGCTGTGTCTTGGCATTTGCTCCTGCAGTCTTACGACAGTGGGAAGGGGCGTGTGGCCTGGTAGATTGCACATAGGTGCTTATGTTTCCGTGTGGAAGTGATGTGGCCACTTCTGCTGTGTTCCATCGGCCAGAACAAGTCTGGGCCCCTGCTTCCTTTCAAACGGGAAGGAATGTGCCCTGAAGAAGGAAAGCCTGCAATATCTGATGACCACGGTAATGAGCAACATGATTTCCGGAGACTATTTCTTGAAGTGTCTCTTTTTAAAGTATAAAGATGTTCTTTTGAAATACAACTTCATAAAAGGTGTGGGACAGGAACCAGGTAATGTTCATCAAGCACATGTGCTTCATAGATAAAAAATAGGTGTCCAAGATGAATAGGTAAATGTTTTGTCCCAAAAATAGTCATCCAAAGTGGTTTCTTTTAAGTTGGCTTTAATAAGAATTGCCTATAGGTCTATATAGTTTTAAAATCGCATACTCTGATAACATTGATGAAATCGAGGAACCCAGCCAGGACTGCTAAGTACAGATGCCCCACCCTCCCTCTGCAGCGGTAGGTGCTCAGCAGCGTATCCAGCTTTTCCCCAGGAAGCCACTCTGAGAACAGGGTTTTCTGTCTGTCCATGCTTGTTTACATGTACAACACATCTCTTCATAACAAAGTTGTGGCACATATATTCCATATAACGAAATGAAGATTAATAAAGTAAAGCCTTAATATTATAGGGCAGGTTTTTGTCATTGTAGAAATTCATCTTTGTCATGTCATGACCAGGGACAAAATAGGTGTACATTTTGTTACCTTTTGTAGTCATGAGAGTGCAGATGTTGTCGGAACTTCTCAGTTACCTTTTTAAACAAAGAGTAATTCCTGGTGCTTACATTCTCAGAATCCCTTTTATCGGCTGCTTTTTAAACAGAATTTTTCAGAAAGAACCATTGAAACTTGTTGACAATAATTTTTAGTAGTACATAAAGTCTTTGGAACATAGCATTTTCTTTTTATACTTTTGAGTATACAATTAGAATCCACAATAAGCCCAAGAAATAAAACAAATTTCAGTCAGTAAAAGTAAGTTTGGGATCCTTTATATATAAAAAAAAGAAATCAGAACATAAACATGCAATAAGAGAAGCGTTAATCTTGTCAAAGTTGGTAAAACAAACTCTTGGTGGCAGATTGAATGCAGTGACAAGTGACCACAGCTTCCATCCTGAGGAGGGGCTGGGATTGTGCCTGACAGTGCAGGTGAGATTTACCTGTACTGTCACCCAGTGCCAGGTGCTTACTTTAGGGATCTCTGACTTCTAAATCATTTGGAGAGTTGAAATGTTTTTTTAAAAACCTGAAAAATAAAATTTGTGGAGAAATGCCAAAAGGAGTTACATCAACTGCCTAAGGTAGAAAGGCAGAGAAACACCCTCATTGTTAATAAAGAGTACTACAACACTTGCTCCGCAACTAAGCAGTGAGCCCAAGTTGAAATAAGTTAGGATACCAAAGTTACAAATAAAATTTCTATATATATAAATTGTAGGCTGCAGATATTATCTAGGAACATTGTGTGACCTTCCACATAAAGCTTTTATAAAAAGTGTGTGTGTGTCCCCAGGTTACATGTGTGTGGTATGAGCACAGACAAGGGTGTGTGTGTGACTGGGTTGCGTGAGTGAGCACACGCAGCTGGTGGCCGACTGCATGGTCTGCAGCTGCCGGGCTGGCTTCCCTCCTCCTGAACGCCGAGCCTGAGTCTGCCTCCGGCCTCTGTCCCATTTTCCTCCACGGGAAGCTTTCCCCAGACACAGCGTGGCTCCTCACAT